ATCCTAATGGAAATAATTATGATTTCATTTACACACATTATAAACAAAAATTACATTTATATGGTCTAGTTCGAAAGATAGAATTATTTGACTAATACCATAGATAAAAATAAACACTATAGAACAAAATAAAGAAATGGATAATACAGTAAACAATGAAACCAAATAAATTAGTCTATACGATATATATTCATAAAACAACACTAAAACTGACCACAAATTTGGTCTAAATTCTAGGCTAAATCAAAAAAAATCAATCACTACAACAATTCCCAAGACCCTTTCAGATCAATCCCATCATGCTCACAGGTCCACAAAAGCAATGCACACAGATTTGAAACCATATGACACAATGAAAGAAAGCGCCTTCACAATCATCAACCAAAAAAAAAGACTTAGAGATACAGGCATTTGATATCTTCTTGAGGTCCCATTACTGCTACCACCATAAAATCGTTTAGTTGTGCCATACATCATCAGTACCACGTAACTCTGGATCAATAGTAACTGACTTACAACTTTGTTAGTTTTGTTTCAGGATCACAGCTCTTTTACAGAGAATTCCAGTTGGCTATGTTTTAGTTTAAACTTAAATTAAAACTCAATCTATCAATTCGACCTACTTGAACTATGCAGTTTGTAAATCCGTTTGTGAATTCAAGTTAGTCATAACTGAACCATAAGTACAGACCTAATTACGAACTAAGCTCTTAATATATAAAGAGCCCATTGATTTTAACCATCCCTACCCCTCCCCCAGGAATCCAATTATATATAAAATTTGACCAACTCTTTTTACCATTTATATTTGAATTTTAAAACTTAACTGGATCGATTTATGCTGTACCTCACGGCCTCACCTTTGTAGAAACGACTCCGCATCAAGCTAACTTTTGAACATTAATAGGTAATTTCTCTTTTTATATCTATCTTTCTTCATTTAAACATCTAGTCACAAAACATCATGTGGTATGACAAATGACTTTTTCCAAAGCACTGAGTTCCTATACAAATCCCCACTATCCTTGTATTAATAGTAAAACTCCAGATCTGATCATACTGTCCTGGTTTACATTCTGTGCTCAATTGATCTATATCATGCAATCTTATTAAGTACTGAAATGAATAAATAAATGAAAAAAAAAAAAATTTAAATAAAAATGGAGAGATTACTTCCAATTGATTCAGAAAAAACATAAAAACAAAACAGGTCATTGGGACAACTCGTGGTTGTTCTTGATACATTTAACCATTTGCATCATTTCTTTAACATCTGTTAAAACACTACATTTCTAAAATCCAGGCTTGATCTACTAACATATTATTCACTTGACAATACTGAGAACACTCACCTCCTCACCCAGAATTTACTTCCTCAGCTTCTTTTGGACTATCAACAAGAATAACAATCAGCTGTTGTACAGAGTCTATGAAATTATTAGCAGTGATCAAGATGCCACAATGAAATTACATAATTGACAATTGATTTTTTTAGTAAAATCAATACATTTTATTTTCAAAGCCTTGTACTTTACCATTTTGCCCTCTTCCTTTGAAAATATATAAAAGCTTTCCCATTATATTCATGCTGAGATAGAAAAGAATCATTTAATAATTATCCACAGTCTTTTCACAGCTATGTCATTTTCACAAATATTCTATTTCAGGGATTGACATGTGAATACTACCTGTACTCATAAAATATTTTTCACATTTGTGTACCATTCTCCCAAGCTACATATCATTCTTTATCATTTATATCCATTCTTGTCAGGGCATATCTAATCTCTTTGATCCTCAGTATCCCATCGTTGATCTAAAACAGAACATCTTACCTCACAGATTACGTGTATGATCTTACATAACTAATCTGGCACTCCAATCCAAAAAGTTTCACTTCCTTAAGCCTCCCCAAATCACCTATAGCAGCCAATCTTTTATACCCTCTACAAGTGCTTATGAAGACTGAAATAGCATTCGAAATGCTTCGCATGCCCAATCATAATACCCCCAACCGTCACAGTACTATCATTTACTATCTGATGTATACACTACCAATAATAAAAAATAATATTTAGTTATCAAAACCTGTTAACTATTTAACCTATACAGAAAAGTACCTTTTTGAAACAATGTAAAATTGATTTCAAAAGATACCTATCCAGAGTATTTGATACCCAATAAATACTGTGGTATACCGTTATGATTAATCTAATACTGTGACAGCGCTTATATTTTAAATGAAAGGTAAAGTTACCCTGAATTTTATTGCAAAGCCTTCATTGATCTAGACCAGTTTGTCATCCAGGACTTTTTTAGATGCTCGTATAAATATTAACATTTGTCTGAAACATAAACATAATATAGATAAAATGTAACATTCTCTTGAGTAATCCATATTTTATTGTTCTTAAACGGTATACCCTTCACTTCATGAAGTTCATATTGCCTCTTTTACACAATATTAGATTTTTTAATAATTGAATTTTTTGTGAGAGTCTAATTTATAATACAAAGCAAGAAACGAGAAATGTACCTTTAAACATTGCTTCTGAACTTTTTTTTTTCCCCTAAAGTGGTTTTGCTTCCTTTTTGCTTTCGAGATATGTAATTTCTTGAATATTAATGCAAACTTTCCTTTTTGCATTTTCTCCTTTTATCTCAGGAGCTTGTTCTACGTAGGAATCTAAGGAACCAAACAGTTATTTGGACCTTACTCTTTAATATCCGGTATTTATCTTGAATCTTTGATTTCTCAAATTAATATCTATGAAGATTTTATTCCAATTGTCTTTGTATCTTAAAAGTCCTAGAAAACAGAAACCCAATTACCTCCATATGAGATCTATTTCTACGACACAAAATCAGCTTATTCACTCTTGTAGATGGAAAGTCCATGGCCCATTTACACTAAAGGAATTCTTCTTCACTGAATCTGTGTTTCTTGGGTCACTATAAATAAATATAGGAATACAAATGTAACTAAGACTTAAAACTTCATTTTAAAGTATCTTGAAGTTAATATGAATGTTATATTTTATAATCCATGGACTCTACCCTGCAGCGCTTAGTTGAAGTATACCTTTTGCTTTTCTGTTGAATAATTGTTTTTATTAAATATTAGACTAGATAATTATATTTAGTTTAGAAGTCAGTTCATAGGATTTCTATGGTGCTATGAAGTAAAGATAGGAAGCACTTTTTTTTTTTTAAAGCAAATTATAGTTTAAGAAAATGATAGATTCTAAAATCAGTTTCTGTTGGTTACTAATATTAACTATTAATATTGCCAGAGATACCTTTTAATCCTGCATGTAAAGAGCATACGGTGCCTTTTGTACAAAAACAAGTCAATTTAACATTTCAAGGGAGGCAACTCTGTATTCCAAAATTAAGTCATTATAATGAAATGAAATAGCCCTCATGTAGCAATAAAGAACACAGAAGCCGTGTTTTAAAGCTCTCTAGACTTCAGCTTAAAGTGCTGTCAGAATGTTAAATTGTATTATTTTGTAGTAAAAAAAAAAGATCAATAATTTGTAAAAATGACGAACATGTTCATTCTGAGAATCTGATTTTTGATTGTTTTTCTAAGCAATGTGATGTTTTTGTATGTGTGATTCAACTGGGAATTCAGTGTGTTACATTCCCCATTTTGTCTACAGTGTAACAAATGTTCAATCTAATTTGCCATCCGTAGCAATAGTTTTTATTTTAAGCTTTTCTCAAATTATCTTTGTTATGGCCTTTATCTTTACTTTGGCTATGTCAGCAACTTCTTTTTCTGTTTCTCCTCCCATTTGGCCTCCTGTGTTCGCTCTCCCCAAAACTTGTTCACCACCCCTACTCTTTCCCTGTCCCTTCTTCCATTTTATCTGGAATGTTTCCCTATCCACTCTGTGTTCCTGTTTTCCTGAATCACAGGCAGTTTTACAGCTTTTTTTTAATTGCATCAGTTTGTTTATATCTTTCTTTCTTTAAACTGCTTCTCTGCTAGTTTGTCTATTAGCGAGCTTATCTTTTATCTTAGACCTAGTGCAAATGCTGACATGTGCAGCCATTTAATAAATATTTTTAAAAAGATAAGAATGACTAAATAAAACGAATCTGATTTATCTTACAAATGGATGCTTGATATCAGGAATTGTGTGTGTGTGTTTTCTCTCCCCAGAGGTATTTTAGGATCCTTAATTTGGAGGTAGGGGTAGGAAAGTATGTTTTTGTTTTTCCATATTCAGATTATTTCCCTTTTAAAGGGAGACAACACATGCTTCTCTTGGAACTCTCTTGAGCTATTTTTATTCTCTTTAGATTGTTTCTTTTCACAAGAAGAACATAACAAGGAGAAGAGGCTATTTCCTAAGCCTCTAAGGCTAAATATGCTTAGGTGCCCTTACCAGCAGTAGATCTTACAAGAAGGTGCGCGATGTGAGAGAGGTCAGCTGCTGTTGTGGTCCAGACTCGTTTTCCATGTGGTCTTCTGCCCAGTTCCCGCACATTTCTGATCAGCTCGTTTAGGCTTGTCCTCATGGCAGAGCCAGCCTGAGTGCTGTTCTCAGTTCTCTTCCTGTCCCGTCTGTGCTTGTGAAGAATATGTACCCCTGCACCCCTTTTCAGGGCTTCCCAGGATTCTCTTCAGGAGTCACCCACAACTCAAGCTGAGGAAATGTATTTGTTTCCAGTCCTACTCTCAGAGTATCAGATGGGATTGCTCTTAGCAGCGTGTGACTGATTGTTCAGGCTTCTGTTGTCATCAGCTTTCAGAGAAATCTTTTAACAGAAATAAATGTGAAAACATGAGTGAATAGTGCTTTTGGGGTCTTGGCACATTCAGATATTGTACTTACTATTTAACTTTCAAAGACTTTTAATCAAACCCTTTAGTTCAATTCAGCTGATATCTATTGCACAGGTATTGTGTGCCAGCCCTATTTCTGTGACACAGAGCCACAACAAAACATTGTGATGCATATTTATTTATGTGCTTCTTTTTTTTGTAGTGTCCATTTGTACTATTTGTTTCCTAGTCTGGAAGAAGGAGGATTAGCGACCTATCGAACTGCCATCGTTCAGAATCAGCACCTTGCCATGCTAGCAAAGGTACATAAAACATCTGAAGCACTTGTAGTTACGTCTCACAATATCTTCTTTAGTCCATGCATAGTTTTGCATTTGAATAAGTAGCTTTTTAGGATATATTAAGGGTGTAACATTTTATAGACCAGGAAGTATTTTTTGTTTGGGTTTTAAGGATTCAGCCTTATTAGTTCTGTTACCTTTGTGAGTTTCACCAGTAGCTAATGAACTCCATAGTGAGTTAACTTGAGAACAGATGAAGAAAAATTTGTTGACAGATGTACATGAACAGAGTTAAACATTTGGGAAAAAGGAACATGGGAACAAAGCAAAAGAAATGAAATATTCTATGTTTTCCCTTTGTGTAATATTTCTGTAGTACATTTGTTTTTAATTTACATTAACAAGCAGAATTATAGCTTTGAACAGAATATTCCAGACCATTTACAAGGGGTACTTTATAGACCTTTGAGAATTGCCCAAATGACAAATCCCATTAATTAAGATTTAGGGTTTAGGCTATCCAGCTAGCCTCATTGACTTAGCTGAGTGACTAACAGAACTTTTTCCTTGATTCAGATTCGTGCTAGGCATTTTCCTTACATGATCTGATTTGATGTTTCCATCTCTGTGCAAAATCTTAATATAGTGATTCATAGCAGATGAGAACCTGGACACCTGCACTGACTCAGCAGCTTCTGGTTCACATCCCTCCTCCTATCAGCAGGGTGGCCAGCGACAAATTGACACATTGTTGTTCTCTTCTCCAAACCTCTGCTTTCTTATCTGTAAAATGGAAATGACATTAGTACCTGCCACACAGCCTGGTTGTGAGAATTATAATAAATGATATTATGAGTTTTAGTGATTCATTTCATAAATTGCTTGGCATAATACTTGTTAATAGTAATCAATCACACAAAGAGGTGAATAATTTTGTGGTAGCTAATTATTGTTGTTACCCTGGTTCTTGTGATAAATCCTTACATTTTTATAGACCTTTGGATTTATTTAATAGTAGTTAGACTAATGGCTCTTAAATTTCCAAATACTGAGGATTAACTGGAAAAACTTTTGTGAGTTTTCCTTGCATTTTGCCTTAAGTAATTTCTATTTTTTTCTTCATTTTCATTTAAAAGTTGAAATTTGATAGAAAAGACTAGATAAAGCCCATCCTAGTTTTATGACTGTTTTGCTTTCTTAATTTGATCTTGCAAAAGCATTAATTATATTCAAAATGTGCTTAACTTTAGCCCATGTGTTAGCAAGAATGCCCTGTTTTATTTTATGTAATATAATCATTATCATAGTTCCAGTGGTAGGCTTTAAATCAGCTTTCGTGACATTTGAGAAGGCAAATAATGATACCTTAATGAAAAACTGTGGACAACAAGGTAAGCTTACTTGGTGTTAGCAGCCTCACAATGAATGACATTTTACAACCCTAGGTAAAACTGCTTTAGTGTTTGGGTGATTTAATTGTAGAATGCTTCCTGATAGTTTGTATTAATGTCATTGGAGGTACATATCAATAGGTAGATTGTCATTCTTTTCTCCATTGTTTTCTTTTTAGTTTAAGATATAATGGAATTGTATAATTATTTTTCAGATACTAGTAAGGAAGATATTTAAAGTGTGTGAAATTGCCATAGCATCAAAACAGAAGCTGTTACATAACACATTTGGTGCTATGCAAAGCCATGGGTAATGACAGAGGTAGCTAGTTTCTCCCTTCTGGGATTTCTATGTGATGTTCCTCCACCAAGCCTAAGCCTTGCCTTTCCCACAGTATTCAACATCTATTCCAGTCCAGCAGATGGTTGTGGGGGCCCTAACTTTCTTCTGTATAGATTAGTGGTCCTTAACACATCGACTGCCACACTTGGGAAAAAAAGTTTGTCATTGGGGCCATGGTGTTTTACTAATAAAATAGAATAAAAACTTCAAAAACAAAGCAATCCTTTCTAATTTAATGAAAAGTTTGTTGTTTTTTATTGTTTTCTGTGTGTGAATTACATGCAACTTGAAAAATAGTTCTCATGGCTCCCAAGGTGAAGAGACATGTGGGTTACATATGTTTCACGAGGGCTCTGAGCTCAAAACTAGTGTCAGTTAAATACAACTCACATGACAGTTAATGTGTTAATCATTTGGGAGTGAGGGGAATTGATGGAGAATTGCTGACCCCCCCCCCCTTGCGAATTTAATGAAAGCTCTAAGTCAGCTCTTTAGACTAATGAGCATCTTAATGCATGCACAGTAGAATACTATCCTCTCCCTTTAAAAGTTCCTCTAATGCCTACATGGAAAAATAAGGATGCAGAATAGAGACTAGGAGAAGTTGGAAAATTCACAGCACTCCATAATATAGTCGTTGTTTATAAGATAAAATATGGCTTGCAGTCTGCTCTCAAGCAGGGCTCCAGAGATAGCAAACAATTGGATTTTCCCAGTGAAGTTGTCAAACAGATGAAATTTACATATTCTAGTATAAACTCTTGTACTTTGGGATCAATTTTTAAAAAGAGATGTTTTCTGCTGTTACATTTGTGGTCATCAAAACTCTCATTTGAGTATATTTTATACTCATGGATTCCTAACGATTACAAAATACTATAGCATATATGTCTTGTTTTTGTTGTCTGTCTTTTCCCAATATAGATGAATATGAATATTTAACATACATACTGAGACACAAAATCTGAGTATCTTTTATCTGAGGACTAATGAGACTCATATTGTCCTAGGTTATTCATTGACTTATGTCTTGTTCCACATTATGTGGCATGTTATTGCTTAGTAAGTATTTATTGAATTGAATTACATGGTAATGGAAACAAATTTATTGCATATTTATGCAATGTTTGTGTCTTTGTCCTTTTATGGAAAGAATTATGATTTCCATTTATTCAATCTCAGGAGTTTTATAAAAAATATTCATTTATATTGTGTCTAGTTCTGAAAGGAGTAGAATTGATTTGTTTGTTATAATACCATAGGATAAGAAATAAACAGCTACAGAAATCAAAATAAAGGGAAAATATGGGATAAGACAGTAAAATGAAACCAGAGATAAAGTTAGTCTATACTGATATATTCATAAGTCCTATACCTAGAACTGAGCCACAAATTTGGCTCTAAACTTTGCTAAGGCTAAATCAAAAAAGAAAGTGCAATTCACTACAAACAATATTCCCAGAGCCCTTTAGATCAATCCCATTCATTGCTCAGCAGGTCGCCCTTAGCTTGCACACAGAGGAGTGTGGAAACCTCATAAAGGTGACACAAGTGAAAAGATATAGGGCCTTCACAATCCTCACCAGAAAAAAAAAAGACTTAGAGGTATAAGGTATTTTGATATCTTCTGAGGGTCCCCATTTACTCTACCACATAAAAATCTGTTTAGTGTGGTGCAGACATCATCAGTACCACGTAACTCTGGGATCAGAGAGGTAAAGCTGACTTACAAAGCTTTGGGTTAGGTTTGTGTCTCAGGGATCCATGCTCTTTTAGCAGAGATATTCCAGCTTGGGCTAGTGTTTAGTTTAAACTTAGAATTAAAGAGCTCAGATCTGATCAATTCTGACCCCTACTTGAACTATGGGAGTTTGTAGAAGCCTGTTTGGGAAAGATTCGAGTTAGTCAGAACTGAACCATAAGTACAGGACTCCTAATGGTAGACTAAGCTCTCTTAATATATTAATATGAGGCCAGTGGATTTGTAACCATCCCCCTCCCTCCCCCAGGAAATGCTCAATTATTATAGTTAAGATTTTGACCAACTCTTTCTTACTTTTATCATTTTGAATTTTGTAGAAACTTGAACTGGATCGATTTATGCTGTATGCTCACGGGCCTGACCTTTGTAGAGAATCGGACCTTCGGCATGCAATGGCTAATTGTTTTGAAGCATTAATAGGTAATTTCTCTTTTTATATTCTACTTTCTTGCATGTTTAAACAGTCTGGAGTGCACATAAAATTCAGTGTGGGAACTTGGGACAGAATTACTTGTTGCCAAAGCACGTGAGGTTCCTAGTACAATATCCACTACCTTGTATTATAGTTAATATAGTTCCTCCAGATGCTGATCATACTGTCTGGTTTTTACATTCTTGGTGCTCAAATTGGTATCTGATATCATGCAGATGCTTATTAAGTACTGAATGAATTGAAATGAAGTGAATTAATATGAGGATGGATTACTTTCCAGATTTGATTCAGAAATAAACATAAATAAACAGAAACTAGGTCATTGGAAAGGCTCGGGTTGTTTTTGACTACATTTTAAACTATTTGCAGTATTTTCTGATTTAAACATCTTGAAAACACTACATTTCTAAAATCCAGGCTTGAGTCTACGTAACTATTATTTATTCACTTGGAGCAAGACTGATGTAGACACTTCACTCCTCACCCAGGAACTTTACTTCCTCAGCTTCTTTTTGACTATAACAAGAATACAATCAGCTGTTGGTACAGGAAAGTTATGAAGAGTTAATTAGCTAGTGATTGCAAGTATGCTTTACAATGAAATGTTACAGTAGATTGACAATTTGATTTTTTTAGGTAAATGATCAAGTACATTTTATTTTTCAAAGGCCTTTGTACTTACCATTTTTGCCCTCTTCCTTTGAAAATGAGTATAAAAGCTTCCCATTATAGTTTCATGCTGATGATAGTAGCAAGAGAATGTTTAATAATTATCCACAGTCTTTTCACAGCTATGTCTATTTTTCACAAATATGTCTATTTTCAGGGAGTTTGACACGTGGAATTACTATGCTCTGTACTCATAAAATATTTTTGACAGTTGGTGTTACCATTGGCTCCAGAGCTAGGCAGGTGATTCAGTTTCCTGTTTTATCATTTATCAGATCCATGTCTTTGTCAAATTATCTAATCTCTTTGATCCTCAGTTTCCCCATCTGTGAGCTGAAAACAGAATCATTTACCTCACAGAGTTAGTGTATGGATCTTAATAACTAATTCTGGCAGCATCCAATCCAGAACAAAGTTTCACTTCCTTAAGTCCTCCCTCAAATCAACCTTATATGAGCCTAAGTCTTTTCTAGTACCCTCCTACAAAGGTGCTGTATGAAGATGAAGATGAAGATGAGAATGTCGAAATGCTTCGCATGGTGCCCAGTGCATAAGTAGCCCCCAAACCTCAACAGCTACTATCATTACTATCGTTATTGTTACTACAACTACCAATAAATAATAAATATATTTAGTTATCAAAAGCCCTGGTAACTATCTTAACTTATTACATGGAAAAGTAACCTTTTTTGAAGACAAGTGTAAAATTTGATTTCAAGAAAATATGACTACCCTACTCCAGAGTTATTTGATACCCAATTAAAATACTGTAGTACTTACCGGTTATGATTAATACTAAATATGTGCACAGCGCTTATATTTTAAATTAAAGGTAAAGGTTACCCTGATTTTTATTTGCAGTAATATCTTGTCTTATACTTGAGGAAATGGAGACTTAGAGAGTTAAGTGATTGCCAACATGGAAATTAGGATTGGACCTATGCAGTCTTCCCCACCAACAGACTCCATGGTTTAAGAGAAGGTGAAAGATTATCATTTGTTTATGTTGTAAAAGGTCATAGATGCCTGTAAAGCTTTAGTGTTATAGACACCAGTACATAGGGTCAATAGCTTAGATGAGAGGTCAGTGCTGCAGTGGAAATGAATGAGTAGTCCAAACTGAGCTAGTAGTTAAAGCAAGCAGAATGGTGGAGTTCTCCAGAGGAGATGGTAATGAATAGGTCAGGCAAGGGGCTGAAGTTTGGTAAATGTCCACTTAGGGTGGTGGAGGAGGAAATAAAAGCATTGAGAAACACGAGGAATTTGTAGACGGCATTAACATTCAGTGTAATTCACACTACAGGGATTTTAAGGGAAAGGTTTCTGAATTGGTTAGAGAAGTCCTTTAAATGCCTTTAAGAACAGTTTGATGTAAGTGCTTTTAAAAATACTGTAAAAAATTTTAAGTATATTATTTAAGGTGCAAGTTGTAAAAAAATTAAGTATTTTATTTCACTTTATCTCTATGTCACAAGATATACTAAATTTTCCTATACTTCTTATCTCCCCCAGAAACTTAAGAAAATATTTTTCCTCTTTCAAAAAAATTTTGTTGTTATTTCAGAAACCTAATATCAAGGCCAGCAAGTACTTCAGAGGCTCTCTAGCATCTGAAACTGAAGGAAAAACCTTTAATTCTGAGAAAGTTCTAATTATAAATGCCTCTAGATTTAACTCAGTGGATAAAATAATGTGCTAGGGTTTTCCATATAATTCTTCATTCCAGTAGTTCAAGTCAACAGTTGTATTGACCAGCAGTAAAGTGTAGTCTCATAATGTAGGAGCTTGTGAACAAGATATGGGATTTTTTTCCCACTCCATCTTAAAACAGCTGATAATGAATTAGTGCCTAAAATAAAGGACATTTGAAATGAGTTTTAATTACAAAGGCACAGCTGGTGCACATTTCTGGGGAATGGTAAGCAAAAAATTATGATTGAAGAGCAGCTTAATCCAGTGTATTAGGTTAAGCAAATGTGTAACTTAGTTTTAAAAGGTGTCTTTGACTTCTGGGCTAGGGTGCTTTTTTCCTCCCCAGCTTAATAGGCTAATAGAGTCATTACAGGCAGTTCAGTGGTGAATACACTTTTAAAAAAATTAGTTTGCTAGCACTATTGAATTTGCAATAAGTGGAGTCAGCATCTGAATAGTTCAGTATTTCAAATAATGACATTTTATTTAGTACTCTAGAGTATGTTAAATGGCTCTCTTGAGCATTAAAGGCATCACTCCATTTTCCAGGACCTGCGCGAAGTCTGGCTCAATTATCCTCTCACCCACTCAAGTAAGTATGACCTTCCTGTCTGCAGTGAGCTTTGTAACTCCAGCTATTCATGTTACTTTTGTTTGCCTTTTCCCCTTCCCGCTTTTATCCTTTGATTCCCTTCAGTGGCCTTACACCTTTAAGCTGGGGTGTCAGACCTGGAAACTTTGGAACAAATAACAAAATGAACCCAGTTGTGTGGTCTGGGAGGATAGGGGGAATTGGAAGTTGTCTTTCCTCACAAGTCAGGAAGAGCTGCTGTGTAGTTATGTGTGCCTCTCCCCCATTAAAAGGTGATAGTCAAAGCATATGTTGACTCCAGAATATCTACACACCTGCTGTTGTAGAAAAAATAATATGGAAGTGAATCTGAGCATATTAAAAAAGTAGAACAAATGCTAAATTAACATTGCTAAATTGTAACCTAATTTGGATCTTAGGAATTGAGAGCTGTTCCAGATTGCATTGAGAGTTAAACTCTGATTGCATAAAATTTATTGTCAATTAAAATTTAGTATAGCATGATGGCTTTTTACTCAAGATTTTGGAATTTAGAAGCTATAAGTGTGGTGACACCCTTTTCCAGTTGTTTTAAATTCTTACTATTTTTGATTTTTTTTTTTTTTTGAGACAGAGTCTCGTTTGTTGCCCAGGCTAGAGTGAGTGACGTGGCTCAGCCTAGCTCACAGCAACCTCAAACTCCTGGCTCAAGCAATCCTGCTGCCTCAGCCTCCCAAGTAGCTGGACTACAGCCATGCACCAATGCCCGGCTAATTTTTTGTGTATATATATTAGTTGGCCAATTAATTTATTCTATTTATATGAGACAGGGTCTCGCCCTTCTCAGCTGGTTTCGAACTCCTGACCTCGAACAATCCGCCCTCCTCGGCCTCCCAGAGTGCTAGGATACAGGATGAGCACCTACGGCTGGCCGATTTTTTTTTTTTTTATTTACTTTGGATATATGTATATATGTCAATATACGTGCATATACTTATATATGCATATTGATACATGTATATATGTATAAATAATGTGAGAGTAATCACTAATGGTAGATTCTCGCGAGAAGCTTTACAGCAATAAATGACATTAATTCAGAGTACTTAAAAATATCTTATTAATTTAGAGTATCCAAACTAGTTGAAATGTTCATTTTAATTACCTTTTCATATTTATCTCGCTAGTTGTTAGTAAGGCTCATTGTTACATGGAGTACCACCTGTCTTGTGGTATAATAATCTTTGCCGTGAGCTGAAATCGTTTTAATGATGCTCATTGCCAAATCCTTGTTCCTAGAAGACACAATAGTCAAATTACTTATATCAGTGGTTCTCAAAGGGCAGTCCAGACTGATGCATTTGCATCACCTGGGAACTTTTTAGGAAGGCAAACTCTTAGTTCTTACTCCAGACATTAAATCAGTAACTTTGGGGATAGGG